AACCACTCTGTGATTCTATGATACTATATAATGAAATCAATGAAAAATTAGAACAGATGATAATGTTAAGAGAAAACAAATGATACAACTCCTCACCACCCACTGGTCAGCACCCAGCCAGTCCCCAAGCAGTGAGAGCCAGCCTGAGAGCCCCCGAGCCCAGCCCCCAACTTACACACTGTGCATGAATTGTCCCTTTGGTCAGTTTGGGTCAGCTGTCTGGACTGTGTCCCCACCTCCTCCTCCTTGTAGAGAAGCTGGGAACACAGGAGCAGTATCCGAAAGTGAACGAGTCCTTGGCTTACTGTAAACATTGCTTGGCAGCAGCTAAAAACATCAGGGTGTTATCAATGTTCTTTTCAGCACAGATCCAACACACAGCCTCCCGCTAGCTACTGCGAGGAAAATAAGCTCTGTCCCAACTCAAACCAGCACAGGCCTCTGTGTACACGTGAAGACGGAAGGAACGGAGACGCAGCTTGGCATAACGCTACGGAAAAACCAAGCGGACACTACGTCATCTTTAAGAAGATTTTGTAACCTAAGTTTTATTTCTAAAGTTTGATCTACCCCCACCTACACAGTGAACAGATGCTGCGGAATCTGGAAGGTCACAGGGAGCTTCTCCGGAGAAGCGGTTTTCCATCATACAAGCAGGAGCCTTCCCCTCTCTCCGTCAGAGATCCAGTCCCTTCACGCGAGAGTCTGAAGCAGCAGTATTTTCTCATTAATGCAGAACCTATGCAAGACCACCATGAGGTTCTCCCCGCAGCGCGAGACCTGGCGCTCCATGGCCAGGCGGAAATCTTCTTTCACTCCTTTCGTTATACCCCGGGTGACGGTATGGTGCCTTAAGCCGCGAGGGAGAGAGAGACAGACAAAAATCGAGTCCGGGTTATTTGGTGCATCGCCGGGATTTGAAAGGTGCCGCGTGTCGCGTATCTGCTGCCCGCAGCCGACCCAAGCTGCCTGTGCTACGCTCTGTTTTAAAAGTCACCTGTGTAGTGCTTGTGAGTCCTTCAGCAGAAGTTCCCTAAAGTCTCTTACTGATTGATTGTGACTGGTTGAGGGGAAAAAAGAAAAAAATAGGTTGCTGTTCAGGACAACAGGAAAATCTCTTAACCCAGCGTGTACGGAGTTCTCCGCGCTTGGGGGATCTTTTATTCTCTCTGCCTTTGCTGCCCAGGCCAACTGCCTCTGGGTCATCACCTCTGTAAGTGGCCGGGGTCGAAATAAGAGTGGAAAGATGAACCTGCTTTCTCTGGAGGAAGGGGACAGGTGGGTGCTCCCATCAACAGCAGAAAGCACCCTGTAACCAGTAGGAAGGAGCTGTACAACCCTGTGGGCACTGGTACCTCTCCGAGTAATGAAAGGTGCAGTCAACACTTCACAGCCAGCACAGCCCAAGACAAGGCGGGCTGTGCGTCTGCGCCCGCAGAATCCAGCTCCTGTGGAGCTACGAGACCCCAGGATTACAGGGATTCTGAGCCGAAGTTCAGGACCTGTTTTCAACCAGAACAAATGTCCAGCCACTGAGCGAGCTACGGCGATGGTTGGGCAAAGGCTTGGGATATCGCCCTGTTAAAGGCCGTTCTTACAAAGAGTTCTTTGTCCTCACACCAGCCTGTAGCACTCGATCCTAAAGCTCGTCCTTAAACCAACGTTCTGCAGCAGCAAAGCACTACGCTTTGCTTGCACCAGTCCACAGCTGGCTAAGATCAAGGATCCGTAATGTCTACCTGCAAGCCCTGAAACGAGAGCCCCAGCGCTGCTCAAGGAGCACCATAAATCAGAGCGAAACGCATGTGCTAACATTTGAGACAGGTCCCGAGTCACGGATCAGACGGGAAGAGCTGGACCGAACCCAGCAAGCACACTGAAAGCCAGAAAGGAAATAGAAAATAAAGGGTGAGGACATCTAGACCAATCCAGAGATGCTGGAAATGAGAAAAGGTGGGAATCACCCTCCCCCGCAAGACCACCCTACCTTCCCGCAGATCAGCACGTGCAGCACCTGAGAAGTGACTTCTCTGCCAAAACAGCAGAGACCTCTCTAACACGTGGAAAAGGCAAAGAAGAGACTAGCCTGGAGGCTACTGGGCAACCCCCTGACGAGCTAGGCCGAGGGAAGCAAACTGGCACTGGAAATACTCCGGCATACACCCAGGTTACAGGAGAAGCCCTGTTTTCCATCTTAACCACCCTAAACTGCTACGGTCAGCTCCAAGCTACAGCAGACTACGCAACCTCGAGCTGCTGGGCAAGGCAGCGGTGCTTTTGGAGGTGTGCGTCACGCAACAGCTGGAAAACAAAACACAGTTCAGAGCAGCTTAAGGGAAGGAGCTCCCGATGGATCCAGTAACCTGTACCTTGAAAAGAAAGGGTTACGCTCTGAACATCGGCATCATTTGGGGGGGACTTTGGCGTTTTTGTTTAAATGCAACAGCGATTATTAAACTGAATGGACACGGATACTGGCAACTTATGGGAAAAAGAAAAAAAGGAATGTTAGAATAGAACAACATGGTTTGCCAGGCAATGTAGGCACAGATGGAGGAAAAATAAAAGATAAATACTGAGTAACAAAGTGCTGAAAACCATGGGCAGTAAAACATGTTGACAAGACACAGCACACCATGAGCGGGGTTTGTCCGGTTGGTACCTGTCAGCAGTCTGTATGCTGGGCTGTAGCACAGGTATGAATTC